GACTCATATGTTACACATTGTGTCTCGGGGGTCAAGAACCCAGGCCTGGCTGGGTGCTTTGGGCTCAGGCTGTCACGTGAGCTGTAGTCAAGTTGTTGACTGTCCCAGTCCTTGTGGGCTCTGAAGAACTGACTAGGGCTAGAGGACACTCTCACAGGATCATTCACAGAACTTTGGGTAAGAAGTTTCAGTTCCCTGCTACATCGGCTGTTCATGACATGGTTTTCCCCAGGATGAACTATGGAAGAGAGAGGGAGAGAGGAAGAGGTAGAGAGAAGAATAAAAAGAAAGACAAGAGGAAGACAGAGAGAGAGGAGGAGGAAGAGAGACAAAGATAGAGAAACTAAGGCACAAGCCACAGTATCTTTTATAACCCGCTCTCAGCAGACACCCTCTCCTCTGTGTGCTCTCTTACTCCCACAGACCAACCTGTGTACAATGTGGGGACGATACAAGGGTTTGACTATCAGGAGGAAAGGCCATCTTGGATCCTGGCCATTCTGGCCCACCATGATTCACATTCCTCCAAACACACATTCACACCTTCCCACGAGGGTTTTATACCACTGTAGCATTGGCTCAAATTCCAGAATCTCATCATCTAAACCCAGTCAAGTGCTATTCCTCACATAGGATTCCTCTTGCTTTGAACTAAAGAGGCAAGTTACCTGTCTCCACATGGCCAACGTATAGTGGTGGGACAGGACAGGATAACTGCTCTTGTTCAAAAAGAAGGAACATAGGCATTAGTGGTCTATAGAAATTCTGAAATCATGGAAGAACTCAAAAGTCATAGTGGTCTTTTTGCAAAGGACCAGATTGTTGTCCATTCCTCAGAAGGTATTAATAGTAGCATCAGCCAGTACTTTTCCAAAATAACTAAATTAGCATTATATCCAACTAAATGGAGATTGGGGACATCTTAGGATGCCAATGGCCACAAAACATAACTAAAGGTTTGGTCCCAATTCCCTAGTTACAGAAAAGAGGATCTGATTGGTCCAGGCTGATCTAACAATGATCATCTCTGCTCCAATCAAAATGGACACCAAGTAGCATAAACATGACTCCTGTGCTGAGGAATGTGGAAAGCACATCTACGATGAAAACAGTGTACGGAATTTCACTAGGTGGGGGAAGAAGAGGGATAGCCTCTCAGGTCATAGAACTTCTGGGCAAGTCCACAGAGTTTTCACAGCAGGCATTAAATGAGTCTGTCTCATTAAATCAGTGGGATTTTATCTGTTGATATAAAAAATAAAAAAGTTTTGTTTTTGTTTGTTTGTTTGTTTTTTAATTAAAACAATCTGAACTCAGCCAGGCAACTTTCCCTAGTTAGGCCTCACTCCTACTTGAACTCAGGGGAAATTTATTCTCTACGGCTCTTGGCTCCACCCCTGGGCTCTTGGTTCCTCCTTCTGAGGCATCCTTCCTTTTTCTTATAAGGCAGCATGTATTCATGGCTGGATGCTTTTCTCAGTCTGCTTCCTGACGGCAGAAGCTTGGTGGCTCACAGGCTCTATTCATTTTGTACTGTCTCAGCCCCTGCCAGCATGAGCTGAAAGAGGCTTGGCTGATACAATTCTTTTAAAAACTTTGTGCGTCTCCTGTGAATCTTTGTGGAGGTTCAATCAATTAGACAAGAGCCACATCACAAGTCTCTTTGACATTACACCATTGATGTATGAATAAGGCTTCAGATAGTGGCCTTAACCCTCCTAGAAGCTCTATAGTTGGAGAGGGTCTGTGAAGCATATCTTTAATCTCTTCAAAGGGCCTTTTGCCTGGCTGAAGACCAACCTTTGACGCTTCTCAGCTTTTTAGAAGAGTTTACACAAAGGGCCTTTTGCTTGGCTGAAGACCAACCTTTGACGCTTCTCAGTTTTTTAGAAGAGTTTACACTCACACCTTGGGCTTTATCTTTAGACCATACATTTCTGGGAGTGCCCTAGATTATATTTTTGCTTTGAAGCCATTTAAAAAATTAACATTGTTTCTACTGGTTAAATTGTATCTTCCAAAAAGACATTTTAAAGTACTAATTCCCACTACCTGTGAATGTGACCTTCTTGGCAATAGGGTCTTTTCCTATGGCATCAAGTTAATTAGGGTAGGCCCTGATTCAATATGACTGTGGTGTCCTCATAAGAAGAGACACCAGGGGCGCAAATGCACAGGGGGACAGTCATGAGGGGTAACAACAGGACAGCAACCTGCAAGTCAAGGAGAGAAGCCTCAGGGAAACCAACTCTGGACCTCAATCCTGAACTTCCAGCTCCCAGAACTATGAGAAAATAAATTCCCAGTGTTTAAGGCCGTCAGCCTGTGGCACTTCGCTAAGGCAGCCTGACCTGAGACACCAACTTTCTGAAAATATCTTGTTATTACCCAATATGTATTTACTAATCTTCTTTTAAAAAGTATATTTGAAAATTATTTTGTGATATATATACCAATGTATACAGAGCCATTATATTTGCTTCTATTCAGAATGTACTTAGATTTGTTTTCTAATCTTTTACTGAGAGGACTGACACCACTTTTATTTCACGTTGTAGCCCATTCTAAACCTAATCCCTACCTTCCAAGGGTGGGAGCTGGAGGGATTTCTGCCTTTCCAGGATGGAAATGCATCAAAGCTTCCTCTCCATGGTTTACTGTGGACTGAACCAAGAGATCATATTGTGAAGTGTTGTTTTCAAGGAATTACCAGATCAATGCAGTCCCAGATCAAAGCGCTAATCTTCCAGGGTCAGGGAGTGGGCTACTATACTGAGCCAAATTAGAGACAAAGGCCATATCACAATTAATGGGAAGCAGATTGGGAAGCAATCCTGGAAAAGTTCTCCAGCCAAGGATCAGCAGTAGGAACTCCTGAAGCAGCTCTGAGGACACGCTTTCTGGGCTGTTTTTTGCAACCCCTCTGATTATACGAACTTCTGGCCACTTATTTATCTTCTTTGCTTCGTCTTCCATGGTGATTTGAAAAATGAGTATCCTGTGTTCAGTATTCATGTTAGTTTTCAATTTAATGAAATATATACTTTAATCTGAGTTCATCTAATATCACAGTCAGAATAAAACAAGACCTTTCAACTACCCTGTGATTAAAATAAGAATTTCAGCATGTCTTCACTTTACTTTTCCTCTTACCTTTAAAAATAGGATAGATCCAATCTATTGCAGAACCAGTTACTCAAGTTTTTTTTTAATTCATTATTTTAAAAAAACTTTTTAGCATCTATATTAATTTTGTCATTATTGAAAAAAAACACATATATTGAACCTTATTATTGACTTGATTTTGATTCTTGTAAATGTCCTATGGAGTAGGTTTTTGAGTAATTTTTTAGAAAAGCCATGTGAGTGAAACTGCGTCTGATCACTCTTTTTGAGTAAACTATCACTCTCAGTCTGTTGCTTATATGATATTCTCTATTCTGGATTTCAGGGTTTTTCCACTAACATCTGGGATGTTTATACACTAAGGAAATATTTTCCATTATGGCTGTGATGATGATCGTCTCTGCTCCCTTCATCTGGACATTTCAGGGTACGTGCCACCCCTAGGCTGGCTCTGCCGCAGTTTCACTCTGTGTCTATTTTCTTCTCTTGCTGTTTTAGCTCTGGCTCTCCTACAGTCTCAGGAGGCTAGTTTACATATTGCCTTTTCTTTTTTCTTTCATTCTTTCTTTTTCTTTATTTTTTTCTTCTTTTTTTGATACCAGAGACTGAATCTAGGGGTGTTTAACCACTGAGCCACATCTCAAGCCTGTTTTTATTTTTATTTATAGACAGGGTCTCACTAAGTTTCTTAGGGCCTCAGAAAGTTGCAATCCTCCTGCCTCAGCCTCCAGAGCTGGGATTACAGGTCTGCTCCACCATACCCAGATACCCTTGCCCTTTCTCCATTGTTATACGAACTTCTGTCATTTATTCATCTTCTTTGTCTTCCATGTACTTCTCCAAGTACAGCATTTTTGCTTCGATAAAATTCTTCTCTAATATTTGGCTGGTTTCATGTGTGATAAGGCCAGGGGACATGCAGCTACTTGCACCCATCTGATTGTGCCCTTGTGGTCTGGCAGAGCCTCAGCTCAGATGGATGCCTGGAGGGCGAACTGATTCGCAAGCCCACAGCTCTGCTTCCAGCAGGTTCTCACCCAGTGTGACTCTGTTCCACGAGGAACCGCGGGCTGCTTCCAGGACTCTTCTGCCTCTAGAGTATTTTCTGAGAGAACATCCGTCCCCAGGCATTGCCTACCCTCTCCTTCCTACCCTCTCTGTGCTGGGAAACCAGACAGTGTAATTGATATAAAAAGAGAGGAACCAGAGCAGGAGAGTTGCAGGCACCCAATTCTGACCCCTGGGTACCTAATTCCTGTGCAGAGGGAGAGCAGGGGCCTGGTTCTGGCTACAGCATGCTAAGCCCTGGACACAGAGCCAAGACAGACATCGGTTGAGCAAAGCCTTCGCCTAGGGTCTCCTGGCTATTTATGCTGGGTCAGAGGACAACTGGACTTTGCTGGGTGGGGTTACCTTTCCTCAGACCAACCCTGCCAGTATTGCACATGATGGATATTCCCTCTGGATTCCCACCAGCGTTTATACAAAGGATGATGTTTTGCAGATTCATAGGAAAAAGGGTACTTGAAACTAAGACGATGCTAATCTTTACGTTAACTGATAAACCTTTTCCCCCAGAGAGCAATATATTTGTCATTCATGTGGAACAATGACTTTTCAATTCAATAAGGGTTTAAAAATCACCCCACTCGTCACCTCCCACGGCAGCCGAATGACGCTGGTAGATGGATGGTAAAAGACACGCAGGGGTTAAACGGGGGTGCTGGCCCCAGAGCTCAGGCTGCCGGCGCTGGCCCTTCCCAAGCCTGTAATTAAGCTGACTCAGCCTCTGCTAAATTTAGCAGCTAGCTCACCAGCTAGGAGGGCCTCAAACACGAGTCAAAAGGAAGAAATACAACATGATTGATCTATACCTTGTAATAAATTCTGGCCACCAAACCCCGCTGAAGAACCCTCTCGCGGAAATTCACGGCCTTCAACAGAAAAGCGAGGTTACCAATCGCATCCGTATTAAATGCCAGGAAACTGGAAGAGAAATACAATGGCCACCGTTATTATTTTGGTTTCACCAAAGAATTTCATTTGAAAGAAATCGTGTTTTCCATTTTTTTTTCTTCTCCATGGAGAAAGCAGTGTAAATACACATCCTCTCCCTGTCCCTTCTCTCACTGATTATACATGTGTTTCTTTTTAGTATTTTTCTGATAAATGGTTGGTTCTAGTTTATTCTATGTTTTTGTTTTGTGGTATAGAGGTTATTTGGTTTTCTATTCTTACCATTAACTACTGTGGTATAAGTAATGTTCAATACTTGGTAGAGTCTATATTAACAGCTATATAATTTATATCAGGTGATAATATATTCAATCATTGATAAGTAAATATTGCAATTGAATATGAACAATCAAATATATATGTCTAGGTCACAAAGCATAACATTTATAAAATACATTACATATCAGGATCTGTGATAAGTATTGGCTGCTAATTTTTTGATAGTCTAAAAATTCTCAGATGTGGAGTTATTATCCAACTTATAGCTTGTTATGGTTTGGATATGAGGTGGCCCCCAAAAGCTCCTGTGTGAGACAATGCAAGAAGGTTTAGAAGAGAAATAATTGGGTTACGAGACCCTTAACCCAATCAGTGAGTTAATCCCCTGATAGGGATTACTGGGTGGTAACTGTAGGCAGGTGGGGTGTGGGGGAGGAGGTGGGTCACTGGGATGTGCCTCTGGGGTATATATTTTGTTGTAGCGAGGAGAGCTCTCTCTCTCTCTCTCTCTGTTTCCTGGTGCCATGTTCCTCCAACATGCTCTTCCAACTTGATGTCCTCCCTTACCTCCAGCCCCAAGGATGGAGTCGGCCATCTACAGACTGAGACCTCTAAACCTTAACCCCTCAAATAAACTTTTCCTCCTTAAAATTGTCCTTGTCAGGTCTTTTGTTCATAACAGAGAAAAAAAAAGCTGACTAGAACATATCTCAAGAAACTGAGGCTCAGAAATATGGAGTAACCTGGTGAGAGCACAAAGGCAGAACACCATCAAGCTCGGCTCTATCCTGGGGGAGCACCAGTATTTGAGGGAGAGGAGCCCTCCAGGGCTTGGGCAAGGGCAAGTTAATGATTCATGGTGAGACTGTCAGTAGGGCATGGTGGCACATGCCTGTAATCCCAGCAGCTCGGGAGGCTGAGGCAGGAGGACTGCAAGTTCAAAGCCACCTTCAGCAACTTAGTGAGGCCCTAAGCAACTTAGCAAAGGACCCTGTCTCAAAATAAAATATAAAAAAGAGCTGGGCTGTGGGGTAGTGGAGCTGTGGGGCTGTGGAGCTGTGGGGCTGTGATTGAGCACTCCTTGGTTCAATCCCTGATACCAAAAAAGGAAATAAAAAAGAATGATGTTACTTTCTTCATCAGGTAGTAATTTCCACTCTCCCCATTTGGCAAATTAAGAAACAGAGTCACAGGGAGTTAAACGGTTTAATCACAAACAGACTCAAAACTGTCACCCCATGAGATTTTGCCCATCAACTCTGCCTTTTGGGCTAATTTTGTGGCCTTCCCCCTGAACCTTGCAGATAACTTCTATAGAAAGGTGAGGGGTTAGTTCACGTAGGGTCCCCAGAGCACAGCCACATCTGGCCCTCCCTTTCTCCCACATTCTGGGGAAGTGAATTATTATTATAGTACCCAAATAACTTAGGTTCCCAGTCATTAAAAATTAAAGACTCAAGTAGCTGTTGTTGACAATCAGAGGCAGGAGAGAAACTTCAAGAAGCACTTCTGAGACACTATTGATACAGTGCTTTGGAGAACGCCAAATCCTGAATTAATAATCACCCATTTAGACAGGGAAGGCAAGTAGAAGTTATTTATGTGCAGTTATCAGGAAATTCAAATTACTGTTTGTGAATGCTTATTTTAAATCTGGGCTTCAGACGGTTGAGTTTCTGCTTGTCTATTTCTCAGAAGGCAGAAAGAACTCTTAGTTAATTGAAAAGCAAGCTTTAGTCTTTCTGGGACTGTCACTATGAGACCTAGAGGCTGTCAGGGCTGTTGTTAGGACTGCCTTTGTGTCTTGGGATGCTCACTGCACGCCAGCATTTGCCTACCTGAGGTTACAAACTGCTGTGCGACAGGCTCTCGCCTACCGGGCCCTCCGAGTCCTGTGTCAGGCCCAACCACACATGCAGCCCTAGGAACTCGTCTAGTGTGAAAAATAGGAATATAGCTAAAGGCAACCTCCTCGTCACTGTGTTTTATAAGGAGGTGAAATGACTCTATATTTAAATAAAATTTAGATTATATGCAAATGCATATTATGGGTCATGAGGGAAATGCAAATGAAAGCCACAGTGAGGTCGCAATATGCATAAACCAGGATGACTAATGACACGGACATCCAATGTCACTAGGGATGTAGAGAGACTGGAGCCTCACACCTCTGCCATGGCAAAGCCCTTCAGGAGAAATTCTCTCCATTTCTCATACAGCTAAACAAATACCTATGCTATAACTAGTGATTCCACACGTATTTGCCCAAGAGAGACAAAACAAGTGTTCACAGAGGCTTACTAGAGGTGTCCATGGCTGTTCTACTTACTGTACTGGAACACCCAGTGGGAACATTTCAGGTGTCTACTCATCATGAGAGAATAGAAAACAAATCCCAGAGAATCCATGAAGTAAAATACCACTCCTCATCAATCAAAAGGACAAAGACACGTGATACCATAGAGAATCTCCAAAAGGATCTTGCGGGGTTCCTGAGCCCACTGCAAAGGAGGTCAGACTCTATGTTCCCCTTATGTGAACTTCTAGGACAGGAAAATCTCACCTGCAATGGGAAAATATCAGAGTGATGGCTTCATTTGGAGTGGTGGTCATTGACTGAGAGGTACAGAGAGAACTTTCTGGAGTGATCAGTGATGGACTAGCCCTTAACAGGAGTGTTGGTTCCAGAGAGGTGTGCATTTATCAAAACTCAGTGAATGCAGAACAAATGTACATTTCACTGCATGTAAATTTTCTGCAGAAGAACAAAGAGAACCACAGCCAAATGTTGAATTTGAGTGAATGATGTCCCTGCTGGATTATTTAGAGATCTGGCCATGCCTGCAGGTTACCTTGAAATGCGTCATAAGGAGAAGGAGAATGGACACAGGAGCCAGGGACTGATGCATGGAGAAATGGTCATGTGCTGCATGAGGACATTTCAGTCAATGATGGACTGCCTAGCTGATTATCCCACAGCATCAGTGGAGCTGATTCCTGTGGCCTAGTGACATCACAGCCATCATAAGGCTGTAGCACATCACTCACGTGTGTGGGGACACTGGTGTAAACACATGTGCCGCCTGCCAGTCCTTTAAAAGCACATATTACCATGTGCAGTACCCAATCCTGGATCCTGGTGGGAAACCTCTGGTCCTGGCTTGCGGACTTACTCTCCTACGTTCTCACAGTTGTCTGGGTGCACCGTGGAAAGTCAGCTGCTGTGCATGTGTGAGTCCCACCAGCAGGGGCCTCCTGCCTCTCACTGCCCCAAGGCCACTGCTGGGTCCAGACCATCCAAAAGGTTCACACAGTGCCCCGCGATGTTCACACTACTGCAAGGCTGCCAGCCGCCGTGTTTCTCAGTGCACGTCCCTGTCATCGAGTGGCACGTGACTGTGTATGTGTGATGGTGGTTTGGCAAGAACAGTTATGTGCTCACAGTAGCCTCTCCATGACAGGTTCCCCCCAACACCCAGCGAAAGACACACTGTAAAAGCCTTTCAACTTTGCTGAATATTTGAAAATATTCATAATATGGAAAGGCCCAGGAGTGCAGGACAGGATCTTGACTTTGCTCAACACTCACCACCTCTTTGGGATCCTTGGGCTGGTGAGAGCAGTGAGGAGGACAGTGGCAGGCTCCCTGGGGACAGAGGGAGGCCGCATTCCCTGGGATGAGCAGGGGTGGAGTGGCGCTGTCTGCAGAGCCAGGGACTGCCCTCTCAGGTGCCAAGCAGCACCTGGTCTCATGGGGTCTTTCTAGAACAAAGACTAATCCCCTCACAGCCCAAATGAGGGGTAGCCTCTGGGTGGCCCTGCAAAGGGCTGCTCACTTGGAGGGGTTTCAGCCCAGGTCCTGCTGTGTCCAAGTGTGGGGCAGTGGCCAGCGACAGAGAGAGCTGGAAATGTGTCCATGACAATTCCTTCCTTCACGTAAAAATCAGGGTAAGTAAAGCGTGGGGATTTAAGTAGATAAGCACAGAGGGAGTGAATGAGCAGGACCCGGATGTGTGGGGGAGCCATGTGTACTGTTTTGGAGGTTAATAACTGAGACAAAAATAAATGGGCTAGAACTTTCCAAATATTTACAATTGGAATACTGCCTTTGGCACATCTCAAATCTGTCCTGGAAAATTTGCTAGGAATATAGATTTGCATATGTGTGAGAGTACATCGTGCTTTCCAAATGATGGAAACAAGCCCTGCTGTGCTCTCTGGAAAAGAAATGAAAGAGCAGATGATTTGTGACCAGTTGGGGAACAAGTTTCCTGAAAGGAAGAACCAACTCTGCTGGAGAACTGTGCGAGTCCTTTGACTCCTCCTATACTGGAAAATTTTCAAACTAATAAGTTGGAGAGAAAACCATCAGTGCTATACAATGCCCACTCAGGGCTAGAAATGTTTAAAAAGATGCACCGAGTTTCTTCAGTGTGCGAGAACCAATTGAGACATAAAGCTAACAGAAACTTCATCAAAATAGTCCAGGGATGTGGGAACTCGTGTTTTCAAGCTTTAAGATAAACCATGGTTGGAATAAACAGAAGCCTGAGCAGCAACTTTTTAAATAGAAAGAAGAGAAGGGACTATGGATTTCTAAATTTCACTTCGCCCCCATGGTTACGAAAAGTCCCATATAAACATTTATTGTATTTTCCATGTTTTTAATCAGGACTGCATTACGGCATTGTCTCATGAATAGATCCTCTGGAAATTAGCTCAATACATTGGGATTGAGAGAGTAATCATTTTGTGTTTGCTTCCAAACACAGTAAGCTCTCCAAAAGTAGAATGAAAGAGATGACATATTTATAGATGTAAAAAGATGAAATAGACAACAAGGTACAACAGAGAGGATCGACAAAGGGAACAGTCGGTGGTGTGAAAAATAATAATAATAGTAACAATAAACCAACACTCATCTGGTGATACTGAGCAGCAGCAGCAGAGAAGGGAGAAGGTGCTGGAGATAATTCTATGGAGGACAAAGGGGACGTAGCCACAGATCCCGCAGAAGTTCAAAGGATAATCAGAATAGTATGAAAACCCTTGCACCAAGTGGATAAATTCCCAGAAAAGTACAATTACTAAAACTTACACAAGAGGAAAAGCCTAAACAGTTCTAAAATAATGAAATGAATTAAACTGATAGTTTAAAATATTCCCCCAAGTGCAGATCATTTTCAAATAATTGAATTCTTCCACAGAATGAGAAAGCACTCCCAAACTAGCTCCAGGAGACTAGTAAAACCTTGACACAAATCTAAACCAGGGACGTTGAAGAACGGAAAATTATGAGCCAATAAGTATAAAACCGCTCCCTTTCGAATAAGCCAAGCCCCAGGAACATGAAGATGATAATGCAGCCTGAGAAAGCCAAGGATCTCCCCAGAATGTCAGGGTAGTTCAGCACCAGAAGACTGACAGGTCATTTATCAAATTAACAGAATACAGAAAGGTAGGATCATTTCAATAAATGCAAATTCATTTGAAAAATTCATCATCTATAATAATGCAAATGTGTTAAAAATAAGAAATGGAGCTTCTTTAGGTAACAAGTGTGTCTAGCAAAAGCTCCAGCCAACATTTTTAACAGTGAAACTCATCTTTTTAAACCAGGAACTAGACAAACAAACACCTTCTGTGTCTACTTCTAATCCAATTGCACCAAAGTTCCTGGCCTTGCAGTAAGATGTGAAAAGGATAAAAGAAAAACAACTGAAAAGGAAGAAATAGAAAATCATGATTTGCAGATGGTATGATTGCCTGTGGGGGGGAACCAAAGAATCTATAGATACATTTAGAAGAAACTTTTTACAGTCAGATTTATTTAGAAAAGCCAGCTGCAGCAAGTCATGGTGGCACTGGCCTATAATCCCAGTAGCTCTGGAGGCTGAGGCAGGAAGATCACAAATTCAAAGCCAGCCTTAGCAACTTGGAAAGGCCCTATCTCAAAATAAAAACTAAACAAATAAAAAGGGCTGGGGATGTGGCTCAGTGGCTAAACGCCCCTGGGTTCAATCCAGGGTACCAAAAAAAAAAAAAAAAAAGAGAGAGAGAGAGAGAAGAAGAAGAAAAAAGAAAAGTCAATTGCAACAGCAAAAATAGAGTTTAAAAAATTCTCTTAACAACAACAAAACAATGATAAATCTATCAAAAGGGGGCTGGGGTTGTGGCTCAGGGGTAGAGCACTTGCCGTGCATGCATGAGGCACTAGGTTTGATCCCAGCACCACATAAAAATAAACAAAATAAAGGTATTGTGTCCATCTACAACTGAAAAAAAAATTTTTAAAGATAAATATTTTTTAAAAATCTATCAGAGGATATACTATGTACGGGTAAAATTGTACAACCCTAGAAGATTCTTAGAAGATTAAAACCTTTGAGAAAAAATATCTGTTTTATTTACAAAATAAATAAGAAAAGTATTTACATGTCAAATTTTCTGCAAATCCATAGATTGAATACATTTCAAGGAAAATTTTAGCAAGTTTTCAAAACTGTGGTAAAATAAACATATGGAAGCATTTGTCATGTTAATTATTTTGGTGGATCCTTCATTCCTTTCTAGGACTTCATCACTCTAAACTGAAACCTGGATCCATTAAGCAATGGCTATGCATCTCTCTTAGCCCCTATAATCAATTTTCTATCTTTGTTAATTTGAGTACTCTGGGTACTTCATACATGTTTTATTCGGCTTTTTTGCTGCTGTGACTAACAGACCCAACCAGAACAATTGTAGAGGAGGAAAAGTTCATTAGGGGCTCACAGTTTCAGGGGTCTGAATCCATAGGCAGCTGTCTCAATTCCTCATGGCAGAAGGGTGTGGTGGAGGGAAGCAGCTCACATGATAATCAGAAAGTGGCGGGCGGTGGGGGCGGGGGGAGATTCCACTTGCCAGATACAAAATATATACCCAAAGGCACACTCCAATACTCCCTCCTCCAGCTACACCCTACTACATTCAGGTACCACTTAGTTCATCCTGTCAGGGCATTCACTCACTGATTGGGTTAAGGCTCCCATAACACAACCATTTCTCCTCTAAACTTTGCTTTGTCTCACACATGAGCTTCTGGGGGACACCTTACATCCAATCATAATAATATACATTCAGTCTTACAACACTGCCTTTAGTATACAAGACTGTTGTTTTCTTTTGAAGGAATTTGACAAACTGATATCAATACCTATAGGGAAATACAAAATTCTAAATACGTAATTTATATATATATGTGTGTGTGTGTGTGTGTACCTATAGGGAAATACATAATTCTAAATTGTATTTCAGATATAATAATGGAGTAATATTTTATCATAAAGACAGGGTAATTATAACCTGTTTGTTGTGTCAAAAATATACAATCTCTCTAGGAACAAAATAACCCCCAAATGGACTCCCACATGTGTATGGAAATTTAACAAATGCCAAAGTGAGTATTGCCAATAACTAGGTCAAGATGGTTAGTTTATTAAATGGTACTGGAACAACAAACAACTCCAAAAATTGAGAAAAAAAAATGGAATTAGATCCCTTCCTCAAAGCATATACAAAATTTTCCAATGAATTCAGGAATTAAATATGAAATGTGAAACTCTCAAAACAAAAAAAATTCATATTTCATGACAATAAAGAAAGTGTTGAATATCAAAGAAAAGGGTGAATTATAATTTAAGAATTTATAATCTTAACTTAAATTGTTATTAATTCAGGAATTTGCGTTCATCCAAAGATACCACAAAGAAAGTATAAGAAAAGCCACTAAAAAGTTGTAGCATCTATAATGACATAGAAAAAAGAACCCATCAGAATCATTAAGATGAGACATACACACACAAAATAGAAAAAAAAAATGGGCAAAAACATGAAGAGGCATTTCATCAAAGAAGAAAAACATAAGGAAAATGAAGAGGGGAAAACACGGTATGCCTTAGAAGTAATAAGGAAAATGCGATTTAAAATCCTGATAGGAGATCATTTTTTATGTTGCATTGAGAAAACTTAGGAAATCTGTTAAGATCAAGTGCTGGGGAGGATCGGCTGTCGCTCTACAGAATGTGTGCTTCTGGTAGGAGGGTAGACTTGTAGAACCACTTTGAAAAATACCTTGTCACTGTCTAGTAAAGTTGAAGATTGGCATATTCCACAATAGCAAGCCCACTTCTGGGTGATATCTACCCTAGAGGAATGTTTTTCAAACAACAGGTTGCAAATCACTGATGGGCCATGAAATCCATTTAAAAGATTGATATCCAATGTTCTAAAAAATAAAATTTAAAAATACCAGACAGTATCATGAGTAGCAGGACAGGTCGGCACTGTTTCCTGGAAAGTTTGCTTCAGTTGTCTGGGGTGGAGGGCTCTGGGTGTCGTGATGATTGAAATGCATTTTTGACTCTAGATCATGTCAACTACGTTTGAAAGCCCTGTACAAACTCTTGTGGGTTTCCCAGAAAACATGAGCAAGATTTTTTGTAACAACTTTGTGCAAAATATAAAAATGTTGCAAACACCTATAGGGTCTGCAAATACTGGAGATTATATAGGAATATATATATATATATATATATATATTGGACTATTTTATGATGTTATGACAATTCTTGGCCACATATAACAACTTGGGTAAACCATAGAAACAAAATATTGAGCGAAAACAGGAAGTCCCTGATACAGCATATATTATGCCTTATCTTCAGAACTTACAGACAATGCTAAGATAAAAAAACTGATAAATATGATGAAAACATCCTGAAACCATGTATCCTGCGTGTAGCATCAAATTCCAGCTCTGCCATTCATTAGCCATGCAACCATGAGCAAATACTTAACCTCCGTGCCTCAGTTTCCTCATTGATGAAATGGAAATAAAAACCTACTTAATGTGGCTTGAGGGTTAAAACCTATAATGCATTAGGAGCAATGGGTGTATGAGGAGAAAGAAGGTGCATGAGGAGAAAGAAGAAAATCAGCATTGTCTGAATTCTTATGTTGGTCAGAGGTTGCAGAAGCATTCAATTTACATATTCACATTTTTGTGTACATTAGATGGTAAAAAATTTCACACCAGAGTAAGTTGGGCATGTCAAGATTTTGCAAACTTAGGTTGGATAATAAGATATTGAAGGCAGGTGACAAGGACACCCTGAGCCATACACATACCTGGTCCTCAGCTTGTCACTCACAGACGCCACCCAGCTCCACAGCAGGCCAGAGAGTGGATGGTCTTGTTGCTGTTTGGTGTACTGAGCCAGCAGTTCCCGGGCCACCACCTGTGCAGAGTTCAGTCCTCATCAGCCATGCTCAGAAAGGTAGAGAGGCCAGAGCACCTGTAAATACTGCTGCTGGATAAGGCAGACTCCCTATGAGCAACTCCTTGGAAGGAATCAAGAGAAAGACCCCTCCCTTCCAGGGACCTCCAGTGCCCATGGCAAATGCCTCGTGTTTAAATGCTGCAGTCTGGCTGGGCACAATTCAGGAGCCACTTGTCAAAAGAAACGAACTTTATTTTTAGAACCACACACACCAAACCACACAGCTCCTCAGGAAAAACCTTCAGAGCCCAACTGCTACGACAGGCTTCCCACAAGCCTCTCAACCTCCCCCACTCCTCCTGCTCTTGAGGCCCATTGGCTGGGTCACCTGGGCGGAACCAAAAAAAGTCCCCCAATGAGCAGCTCCGTGGTCTAAAAGGGCGGGGAAACAGCCCAATGAGCATCACCACAGAGGAGCCAATCAGTTGGCAGCTAGAAGTTTGCTGGGGCCACTGTGAGCCAATCATCAGCTGGCAGCTGGAAGTTTGTATCCCCAGCAAACTTCCAGCTGCGGCTCTCAACATTTACCCACCACTCCGATTCCCCCCACAGCTGACTTCTAACTAGCTCGGCCTCCTGCCTGCCTCAGCCTCAACATTGGTCCTGGAACCGAATACTTTCACTGACATGTCCGATGAAAGCTGCCTGCCTTCTGCAGATCAGATGGCCAGTCTGTTCTCTTCTTTGCCTTTGACATTCTCTGATTAATTAGGCCTTTAGAGAATAGTATTAAAATGTCCAAATTAAGCCATCTATACCACCCCCCCGCCCTGTCAGCAGCTTTAAAGATACAATTCGGGCCTAAAATACTGCATGGTTTTTGTTCAAAGATGTCTATGGCTCACTCACTGACAGACTGACGCAAGTGAGGCTACCTTGACCCAGCTGCCTGCAACCAGCCTCCCCAAGAGTAAGCCCAGCCCAAACTGCTGGTGTACAGAACTATGCGCTAACAAACTGTTGTCTCAAAGTACTAAGTTTGGGGTGATTTATTAACTAATCAATAGAGTGCTAGTTCGTTCTCTTTTGGTTATTATTTTTAGAATTTCCCTTATTCACTGTATAAATGGTTTTATAGAAATTATATAAAATTTTATATATGCTATCATTTAATAGTATATCGTGGTATTTTGGGTTTGCATTGCTATATAGGATTCTACTTAGCTGTTTAATAGCTATATAATGTTCTTTGTTTGAATAAATCATGCTAATTAAACATTTCCCATTCAGTAAGACACTTAGGTTCTTTCCAATTTTACACTGTCAATAACCTTGACATCAATATATCCAGATAAATAGCAGGCTAGTGAGAGCCCAGGGCCTGACGCAGTGACACGGAGGCTGTCAGGCTCTCTAGTCCCAGGGCCATGGAAGGATTAACTCCCCTCCCCATGAAGATACAGGTGTTTCTGGCCATTCTCTCCTTTCCCGTTTCCTTGGAAACCTGCAACGTTCCCTGCTGCCAAGGGTCCTTAGGCCTGGGCTTCAGTCCCCATTTGAGGTTGCCTTGGTAATCCTGTGTGTGGAGGCAGGCACGAGAATGTCTTACGGTGATTTTTCTTTTTGCTTTATTATAAATTATTTCTCTTTGATTTCTTTGAAGTATTGCCTCGAATTCTGAAAATTATGTCTCTAGAGGGATTTTATGATCCATGATTTTATTTCAGGATAGTAAAGGGAGTGTTACTAGGTATCTCTGGTAATGCATTAGATCCCATGGGATTGCATGTCATTGAATACGCATCAAAGAATAAGAACATTTTTATGGTTGTTGCTATACAAAATAAGTGTGAAAATCAAACACTGCCAACAGTGGGGAAAGTAGGAAAAGGAATGAACTTTAACTAGGGCTGAAATTAACGTGATATGGCAGTCAAGTTCAGCTTCACTAATTTCTCACCAGGATTGACACGTCCACTTCTTTATTCCTGCTAATCTATTAGGTGTATAATGCTCCAACCCTTCTCTCTCTATTAAAAAAAAACCTCCATAAAAGCAACCTCATTCCAAACATTGAGCAATGGCTTTCTCTGATTTCCATCCTCCATAGTTTTCTCTCATTCCATTTTTCTTGGTAACAATTGCTGCTACCTGAGGACACAGCACCACTTCTTTGCTGGTGTGTGGTCTACCTGCCACCCAGAAGCTAAGCACTGGGAGGGTCAAGTGTCCCTCCTTGTATCCCCAGACAGGCACCACAGAGTTGGGAGCTGAGGAGTCCGCTTCCTGTTTTCAGAATCTCATCTGGTACATTCCATCCCTTAAAATCTCCCTCATGGTCATTTCCACCTTTCTGATTTAAGCAACTTAAACTGGGAAAATTATCTCACTCCAATTAGTATTAAAATTAGAATGACATAACAATCAAGTTCAGGTGCTAATTTGAGAGAAGCTGGGTCCTGGCCTACATGACAAGATAACCCATTGGGGGTGTTTGCTTCTTTTTTAGGTCATGAGACAAGCCAACATGATTTTTAAGAGGAGGTGTTTTCTGCTGTCGAGGCCCCATCATGAAAGGTAAGTGACTGAAACCATCAGTTACCATGAGGTCTAGGTTGCCATCTCTAGACCCAGGACTTAGACAAACTACCAGGAGGAGGCAAAGATAGATCAGGGAGCATCTAGACAGAGCTTGCAATGGGAAGAGGCATTTGTTTTTATCTTTTAGATGTATTACTGAATATAGCATTATAGCATACTGGTTATACACACACACACATATGTATGTGTATATATATATATATACACACACACACACACACACATACATACAAACACATGTGTGTGTATGTTAACTTTCTATTTTAAATTATCAGACTTACCAGAAGTTGCAAAATTAAAATATTACAAAGACATCCTCTCTAGCCACCACCACCTAGATTCCACCAAAAATGATCTCCTATATAACAAAAGTGATTGTCAAAACCAGGAAACTCACTAACATTTTTATTCATGGGAATTTTAGTTGTAGTCAATATTTCATGAGTTAAAATGAACCTCAGAGTAAGTCCTTTTTAAAAATGAAACGTTAGTTTTTTTTGCAGTGATTACATCCTCCGCTAAGTCTGGGATCTAGGGCATGCCAGACTTCCTTGAGACGATCTGGGATGCGCTTTCTCTCCTGGGGGCGCGCAGGTCGGGGGATGCCTCTGCAGCTGTTTCTATGGTTTTCTGGTCCTGAATTCTTCATTTTCTGGTATACCTGCTCAGAAGCTCTTTCTTTTCTTTTAAGTTTTATTTATTTATTTATTTTTAGTTATAGGTTGTCACATTATCTTTATTTATTTTTATGTGGTGCTGAGGATCGAACCCATGCTTTACGCATGGTAGGTGAGTCACAACCTCAGCCTGATGGAGCCCTTTCCTTAAGAGAACTAGAGGTCACCTGAGCAACGAGAACAGAACAGCCACCACCTTCTCTTTAAAGGAAGGCCCCATCTGCAGGAGAAATCAAGTTCATCTGTAGCTGACATTTGGAAGCGATGAGTGTGGCAACTGTGCAGAACGATGACATCAGAAGCCTACGTTCATAATCAACGTCATATGCATCATGCAGCACGGACTGTGTAACACCAATAAAAGTGGTTTTAAGTCAAATCACTTTTCAAGACATCTAGGAGGCAACCAGCATTTCTATACACTAAGTATTCCCCTGATTTATGCCAGGTACAGTGAGACTTGGACTAAGAAGTCCAACAAGGGCTGGGCACGGTGGTGCACACCTGTAATCTCAGCAGCTGGGGAGGCTGAGACAGGAAGATTGCAAGTTCAAAGGCAGCCTCAGAAAAAGCAAGGCACTAAGCAACTGTGAGACCCTGTCTCTAAATAAAACACAAAACAGGGCTGGGGATGTGGCTCAGTGGTCAAGTGCCCCTGAGTTCAATCCCCAGTATCCCCCCCAAAAAAAGTCCAACAAGGAGAGTTTGCTTCCAAGGCTGAAGCAGGACCAGCTACATAATTGAGGATCCCATACAAAATTAAAATGGGGAGCCTTTTGTCAAAAAATGATTGAGCATTTCAGACAGTAAGGGCAGAGCAGTCAACTGAGCAGGGCCTGAGCCACAGCACGAGGCCGGCCCTGTCCTGGGGGCTCCAGTGAGATTGCCACGGTAAACACAGGACACCCTAGTAATATTTGGGCAGCCAAATATTGCACAGGACATACACTAACAAATTATTTGTTGTTTACCTGAAATATGAATGTCTTAGGGTGTCTATATGTTTATTTGCTGTATCTGGAACAATACAAGGCAAGCCAGGGGCCACCCAGGGATGCAAAGATCAAAAAAAGACCAAGAGGCATGATTCTCCAGCACCCAATTTAGTGTTCACTTCTCTTAGATGCTGGGTATCCCAAGGTAACAGTTCATAGAAGAGAATATTTAAAAATTCCCTAGCAAGAAGAGACAAGAGAGGGGGTGAGGAAGAAGAGGAAGAGGAAGGGGGAGGGGGAGGAGGGAGAGAAAAGAGCCCAGGAGAAGAGAAAGAAAGACTACTTTAACTTATAAACCAGCATATATGATGCTCCGAGTAATCGCTGGGCCTTAAACATAGATTTCATTTTTAAACAAAGGAAAAAAAATGTTTAGGCCCAGAAAAATTTATACATAGTTCAATTGAATTTAAGAGTGGTTAGGTTTTTGTTGCTATTTTTAGTCAAATCTGGACCCAATTTAACTTATCTTTTCAATTTTTATTCCCAATTGGACAATGAAAGTGTTTTCTTCTGGGGTTTCCTTCCTTTGTTTTGCTACATTTATGAAGCACCTACTGTGTATAGGCATTCTAGGCATGTACTAAGGCTGAGCTGTGTTCCAACTCTTTTTAGATGGAATAACTAATTTAACCCTGTGACAACTTTGGGGAGCTAATAGAGTCACCCTGTGGCCCACAAGAGACAGCTCAGGGCTAGAAGTTAAGCAGGATCTGCACAGCCAAGAAGTGGAAGGGCTGGGACT